TACCCATTTGAACAGGGAAAGTTGTCTGTCTACCTGATGTAGACGGATTTTCATGTGTCCCAGCGGGACTGTCCGAAGGATACGAAACGACAAAGGGGGCTGCTGCTGCTGCTGCTGCTGTTGCTGCTGCTGCTGCTGCTGCGTAAGGGGAAGGAGGGAGTCAGATGTCGCAGGAATAGGACAAGCTGAATCCTCACGGCCACTTGTATTATGACCGAGTTCCTGAGCATTGGACTGAGAAACAGTGGGTTTACGTGAGAAGAGAGACCCGATTGTATGCTTCATGGGAGTAAGACCATGACAAAGGAAAAATTTTGCATTTTACAGGTACGCAGAGACACGATCTCGATGGGCAATGATTGTGTCGACCTCGTTGTCCCCAGACTGGCAGGGTAAGCCCGCTCACTCTGGCAGCCTGGGATGTTCGTTCCCTTTTAGACAATCCGAGGAGCAACCGACCGGAACGGGGGACGGCGCTAGTGGCACAAGAACTCGCCCGCTACAAGGTGGATATCGCCGCACTCAGCGAGACCCGATTCTCCGAACAAGGCCAACTGGAGTAGGTGGGTGCCGGTTACACCTTCTTCTGGAGTGGTCGGCCCAGGCCAGAGGGACGAGACGCGGGTGTCGCCTTCGCCATCCGGAACGACATCGTGCGACGACGGCCCAGTCTGCGGCAGGGCATCAACGATCGCCTGATGAGCCTCCGCCTGCCTCTCCGGCGAGGAGGCAAGTTCGCCACCATCATCAGCGCCTACGCTCCGACGATGACCAACCCCGACGCCGTCAGAGACAAATTCTACGAGGACCTGCACGCCCTCTTGGCGACTGTGTCGAAGGCGGACAAGTTGATTGTCCTTGGCGACTTCAACGTCCGCGTCGGCACAGACCATACTGCCTGGAGAGGAGTGCTGGGTCCCCAGGGTCTCCGCGGCTCCAACGACAATGGTCTGCTACTTCTCCGCACCTGCGCAGAACACCGCCTCATCCTGACGAACACGTTATTCTGTATGCCGGAACGAGAGAAGTCCACCTGGAGGCATCCTCGGTCGCGTCAGTGGCACCTGCTGGACTATGTCCTCGTCCGGAGGCGAGATCAGCGGGACGTGCTGGTGACGAAGGCGATCGCGGGTGCTGACGGGTGGACCGATTGTCGCCTCGTCATATCGAAGATGCGTATTCGCCTACAGCCTCGCAGGAGACCACAAGGTAAGCGACCCCCAGGTAAGCTGAATGTTGCCTTTTTGTCTTTGCCCGCTCACCATCTTCATTTCAGCAATGAGCTAGCTCAACGGCTAGACAACCTTCCTATCGCTGCCGACGCTGCCGCTGCCGAGAACGCCTCCGTGGAGAATCGCTGGTGTCAACTGCGAGACACGGTCCAGTCGACGGCACTCGCCGTCCTCGGTCGTGCTCCCCGCCAACATCAGGACTGGTTCGACGACAACGACACCGCCATCAGAAATCTGCTTTCTGAGAAGAACCGCCTACACAAAGCCTACGTAGATCGCCCCACTGATGCCACCAAAGCTGCCTTCTACCGCAGTCGCAGCCAACTTCAGCAACGACTGCGCGAGATGCAGGACGCCTGGACTGCTCGCAAAGCTGAGTAGATCCAAGGCTACGCGGACCGCAACGAATGGAAGAACTTCTTCTCTGCGATCAAAGCTGTCTACGGTTCGGCGACGAAGGGCACTGCTACTCTCCTCAGCGCCGACGGCAGTACTCTCCTGACTGAGAAGACACAAATTCTACAGCGATGGGCCGAACATTTCCGAGGCGTCCTCAACCGCCCTTCTGCCATCTCTGACGCCGCCATCGAGCGTTTGCCGCAAGTGGAGACCAACGTGGACCTCGACCTGCCGCCATCTCTCCAGGAGACCATCAGAGCCGTGCAGCAGCTCTCCAGCGGGAAACCACCCGGATCGGACGCAATCCCTGCCGAGGTCTACAAGCACGGAGGTCCCCTACTGATGGATCACCTGACTGCGCTCTTCCAGGAGATGTGGCGTCAAGGCGAATTCCCGCAAGATTTCAAGGACGCAACCATGGTGCATCTCTACAAGCGCAAAGGGAATCACCAAGTCTGCGACAATCACCGCGGCATCTCCCTACTGAACATCGCCGGGAAGATCTTCGCACGAATCCTCCTCAACCGTCTCAATAACCATCTCGAACAGGGCCTTCTGCCTGAAAGCCAATGCGGCTTTCGTCGTCATCGTGGGACCACGGATATGATCTTCGCCGCCGTCAACTTCAGGAGAAGTGCCAGGAGATGCGGACCCACCTGTACTCTACCTTCGTGGACCTGACGAAAGCCTTCGACACGGTGAATCGTGAAGGACTGTGGAAGATCATGCAGAAATTCGGCTGTCCGGAGCGATTCACTTAGATGGTGCGTCAGCTGCACGACGGTATGATGGCGCGAGTCACGGACAGCGGAGCTGTCTCAGAGGCATTCGCAGTGACCAATGGAGTGAAGCAGCGCTGCGTACTGGCGCCTACCCTCTTCAGTCTTATGTTCTCTGCCATGATGATGGACGCCTACTGCGACGAACGCCCCGGGATCCGCATCGTCTACAGGACGGACGGTCACCTCCTGAATCAACGGCGGATGCTCTTCCAATCGCGCGTAGCCACAACCACCGTTCACGAACTCCTCTTCGCCGACGACTGAGCCCTGAACACCACCTCGGAGGAGGAGATGCAATGGAGCATGGACCTGTTCTCCGCCGCCTGCGAAAACTTCGGTCTGATCATTAACACGCAGAAGACGGTGGTGATGCACCAACCGCCACCCATCTCAGCCACAGCCCCCAACGCGCCGCCGCAAATCAGCGTGAACGGAACCCAACTGCAAGTGGTGGAGAACTTCCCGTACCTGGGCAGTACTCTCTCCCGCAACACCAAGATCGACGACGAAGTCGCCAACAGGATCTCGAAAGCCAGTCAAGCCTTCGGTCGCCTCCAAAGCACAGTTTGGAATCGCCACGGTCTTCAGCTGAGCACGAAGCTGAAGATGTACGAGGCCGTTATCCTGCCGACACTACTGTATGGAGCGGAGACTTGGACGGTGTACGCAAAGCAGGCACGTCGTCTGAACCACTTCCACCTCAGTTGTCTTCGTCGCATCCTGAAGCTGAAGTGGGAGGATCGAATCCCCGACACTGATGTGCTGGAACGGACGGGAATCCTCAGCATCTACGCCATACTGAGGCAAATTCAGCTGCGCTGGAGCGGCCACCTGGTGCGCATGGACGACGAGCGACTACCCGAACGACTCTTCTACGGAGACGTCGCTACGGGTTCTCGTCGTCAAGGAGGCCAGATTCGCCGTTACAAGGATACCCTGAAATCCTCCCTGAAACGCCTGCAAATCAACCCCACCAACTGGGAGGAGCTCGCACTCGATCGACCGACCTGGAGGAGGACAGTGAAGACAGGCACTGCGATTTACGAAGCCAACCGCATCGCTGCCGCCAAAGCGAAACGCGAAGCCCGCAAATCACAACTTCGCCCAGTACGCAACGCCGCCGCACAACCGCTTCCAAAGTGTCCTCGATGTCAACGGACATTCCGGGCTCGAATCGAACTTGTTGGACATCTTCGGATTAACTGCGCCTCTCGAACGGCACCAACCATCGTCCCCCCGCCTGCCTCTTCCTCCTCCTCCTCCTCCTCCTCCTCCTCCTCCTCCTCCTCC